AAAAAAACTAAAAAAATTTTTTTTAAAAAAAAAAAAAAAAAAAAAAAGAAATATATATATGTAAAATGACGTTTCCATTGCAAATCAGCCGCCGCACGTAAATATTTACAAAAATTTAAAAACAATGACATTCATTATGGCCACCTGGACTCAGTCATTCTGCACAGCTCTGGTGTACACAGTTCCTCCAGAAATGTGTTTTGTGCTTTTATGATTTTGACATCAGTCTGCACTAAGATACAAGTACAATGTTAGGCATCTTCTGCAATAAGAATGACATTTTTAGTGAGCCACTCCCTATGGCTTGGCCACTAAAGGGATGCGGACCCTACAGCTTTTCTCATTAGAACACCGAGATTTGCTTGGGTGGTGATAATGAACGCAGACCTCATGGGGCACTTTCTTTTCTGCTGTCACTCTTCCAAGTCTCCATATAGGAAACAGACTGGAAAGGACACGGTGAAACATACAGCTATTTCTTCAGAACACAGAGAAGGTAAACATCGGCAACGATTGTTACATGCCGTACAATGTACATTGATCACTCAGATGGGAGTTTTATCTTTTCCTCAACAAATGTACAGTTACACTAAAGAACAGGAAGTCATAAGAAAACTTCCCAAAAGGGACAGACAAAAAGAAACACATTCTTCCAGTGGGGAAGTATTTAAACTTTTGACAATGTTCTCACCGCTGTCCGTGTCTTTCTAACCTGGTGACTACTGCGTCCCTTATTTCTTGTATGGGCATCACAGGGACCAGATGGGAGGGAGAACCTCCTCAGTTTGGTCACAGACAGTGATAAAAACCTGATAGAAATGATAACTCTTCACCACATTACCAAAACTGAAAAATGTTAGCTGGAGTTGGGCAATGGTTTCTATCTAAATATTCCTCTTGCTGTCAGCCAAGTTATCTCTTGAACCAGAGTAAGTCTTTCCTTGCCAAGCATTTTCAATGACTGGTCAGCATAGATGTCTCTTTACTATCTCTGCATGGTGATCACTGTCTCAGTTATCTGGCCACTAAGGGGGAGAGATCTACCCAGCTGCGTGAGTGACAGGCAAAGCCAGCTATCTAGAGGCAGAGCCAGCTGTGCCCACCCCCTCCCCCATCCGTTCCTCCACTCAGCGCTGGATGATCGGAGAGGGGAATCCCTGCGGGGAGTTGACTGACAGTCGCCGCTCTCTGCAGGGAGACGATCGAGAAGTGAGCGGATCGGTTGCATGTTTCTGCTCACTTCCCGATCGATAGAGCCGACCATTGACAGCTACTTTGTCACAGGTCGGCTCTAACTATGAGGACGAGTGGAAATCACTCACCTCATAGTCCTCCTTTAAAGTGACATTAAACCCTCAGATTTTTTAACATAAACCAATACTGTAATGTGTGCCTTACTGTAATCCATTGTAGTTTCCCTTCTCTTTGTTGCTCTTCCTTTTAAATCTGTATCTGTTCTCATGCTGGGCAGAACTTCTGTTTTGCAGCAGACTGCCTTGTCTCAGGAAGATACATGGTGTCTGTGTGTACGTTTGCAACCTGAGCCAGCACTACAGGAAGAGGCACTCAGCTGCAAAGGGAAGTTCTCCCTCAGCATGAGAAGACATGAGGATTTAAAAGGAAGAGCAGCAAAGAGAAGGGAAACTACCATGGATTACAGTAAGGCAAACATTACAGTATTGGTTTCTCAGTTTGGTCACAGACAGTGATAAAAACCTGATAGAAATGATAACTCTTCACCACATTACCAAAACTGAAAAATGTTAGCTGGAGTTGGGCAATGGTTTCTATCTAAATATTCCTCTTGCTGTCAGCCAAGTTATCTCTTGAACCAGAGTAAGTCTTTCCTTGCCAAGCATTTTCAATGACTGGTCAGCATAGATGTCTCTTTACTATCTCTGCATGGTGATCACTGTCTCAGTTATCTGGCCACTAAGGGGGAGAGATCTACCCAGCTGCGTGAGTGACAGGCAAAGCCAGCTATCTAGAGGCAGAGCCAGCTGTGCCCACCCCCTCCCCCATCCGTTCCTCCACTCAGCGCTGGATGATCGGAGAGGGGAATCCCTGCGGGGAGTTGACTGACAGTCGCCGCTCTCTGCAGGGAGACGATCGAGAAGTGAGCGGATCGGTTGCATGTTTCTGCTCACTTCCCGATCGATAGAGCCGACCATTGACAGCTACTTTGTCACAGGTCGGCTCTAACTATGAGGACGAGTGGAAATCACTCACCTCATAGTCCTCCTTTAAAGTGACATTAAACCCTCAGATTTTTTAACATAAACCAATACTGTAATGTGTGCCTTACTGTAATCCATTGTAGTTTCCCTTCTCTTTGTTGCTCTTCCTTTTAAATCTGTATCTGTTCTCATGCTGGGCAGAACTTCTGTTTTGCAGCAGACTGCCTTGTCTCAGGAAGATACATGGTGTCTGTGTGTACGTTTGCAACCTGAGCCAGCACTACAGGAAGAGGCACTCAGCTGCAAAGGGAAGTTCTCCCTCAGCATGAGAAGACATGAGGATTTAAAAGGAAGAGCAGCAAAGAGAAGGGAAACTACCATGGATTACAGTAAGGCAAACATTACAGTATTGGTTTATGTTAAAAAAATCTGAGGGTTTAATGTCACTTTAATGTAAAAAAAAGTTTGAGATTTTAATACTACTAAAAGGCAGAACATGCAGACATCTGGTGGACCATGCACTTCTGCTTTATGCAATATACTGAAAAGTCATAAATCCTGTATCAATGTTATGACACAATCAATCATCACTCAAGTGCTTAGAATCCAGTCTCCACACCACTCTGCAGTCAGCATTCTACAGAGCACACAGCAACTCATGTGTACAGATAAAAGGAATCAGCATGCCTTTGCCACATCACAGGAAAACAATACTACGACCATAAATAATAATACTGATACTATGAATTATAATAAAATGTGAAGATAATGGGGCATTTCATTCAAGAAGCAAATGTTTACCTCAGCTTCAGGGTCCAAGATGATGGTGTCCACGTTTACTGGTGCCTCCGAGTCATCTGAACACAAGTACAGTATAATAAATAGAAGATACTATAGTACATGTTAGTACAGTTCTCAGTCTTTTCTTTATAAAGTGACCCATGGGCATACAGCCCTCAAGTGACAGTTGTCATATTCTAACCAGACTTGCATGCCAAGGGCAGATATCACGCTGGCTGATTGAGTTATTGTTTGTATTAAATAAATCTACAAATAACAGCACAAGGTTGTTCAAACTAAAACTACAAAGTAAAGATAAAGGTTTCAGACACTCCGTATAGGAATACTGCAAAGGTTCTTTACATACAGAAGGGTACTATTCAATTCAACTGTCCTGAAGAACCTAAAAATGACAGGGAATGACATTGTATGGCCACCCAAAAGGCTACTGCCCAGGCATAGAGAACCCCCCGTCCTCCGGCTTCCAAGAGGTTCAAAGCCACATACCAGGCACACTCATCACTGAGAAACTGAACGCCATAGTGAATGATAATCAGGAGAAACTTCTTTTGATTTGGCAGCCAGGACTTAATCATTCCCCACTCTCGCCTCACACTCAACACCCACACCAACTTGTTTTAAAGACGGACTCCAGGAATGTAAAAATATGACCCTGGCAGTGGGGTTACCTCTGCAATGCCAGGCGTAACTGCTTGTTATTTAGCTATACTCACCCGATCCTCTGTCCAGCAGTGGCAAGGGCTTACCTCTCTCCCACTCCACTGTGGCATGTCCCTCATGGCTAACGCAGGTGAATGGACTGCAATTGACATGACGTCGTCAGTGGTGCTTAAATCCCCGAAGGCCGGGGTAGAAGAGGCTGTAGGGACCGGTCTAGCAGCCAGGTTGGACCGAGAATCAGGTGAGCCTCTAGACTGGGAGACTGGGAGACGAGGGGAGACACAAGGTAAGTCCGCAGCGTGCACCCGCACAGACTCCGTGGGGCACAGAAGACACTACAGTCAGTGCGGCACCAGCGCAGGAGGGACTCCTGAAAACTACAGGAAAGAAGATGATCGGATCAAGAGGCAACATTTAAGGTAAGTCCTTACACCCGCATTGGGGGGGGGGGGGGAATTATATTTCACTTTGTTACTTTAACTTTTTAGATTTCTTAGAGTTCCTCTTTAATGTGATATTTCAAAATCTTTTCCCAGCCACTTCAGAACATAAGTGAGAATCATCACTTAGAGATGAGTGAACCCCAAAGCAGAACAGACTCTTCTGTACACCTTATTTCCAGTTTCCCCTCCATCATGACACTGAAATACGAGGAGAAGCCGACAGGGATCACACATCTCACTTACATACAGAACAATTCATCTCAATCCAAGAGTGGACCTCCTGTCCCTGTAGCCCGGTCACAACAATATCAGTAGAAACATGGATAATGTGGTGCTTTTCTCTCACATTTCTACCGTCTTGTTTTCAGCCTGGCAACGCGGGCACGTGATCTCTTCATTCCCCATTTCTCTGCTCCAAACCCCATATTTCTATATTCATTAGACACCCAACATTTCAACAAGTACCTGCTGCCTCCTCACCATTCTGCACTTCTCCATCCTGAACTGCATGCTTCTCTTTTATATCATCATCTGCAGATTCATCCGACTCTCTACGTTTATCAACTATATCAGTTGGGGAGAAAAATAACAGAACATGTCACATATAATGATAAACTATTATCCTCTTCATGCCGCAATATATTACAAAACCAGCAGATACAGTATTTTATATTACTTTACATATACATTTTCTCAGCTAGGTATAAAAAGGAACACATTTAGATCTCATCAGATCATAATGATCTCAGGTAGGCATAACAAGGAACATATTTGGATCTCATCAGATCATAATGATCTCAGGTAAGCATAAGAAGGAACAAATTTGGATCTTCTCAGATCAGAATTACCTCAGATAAGCATAACAAGGAACATATTTGGATCTCGTTAGATCATAATGATCTCAGGTAGGCATAACAAGGAACATATTTGGATCTTCTCAGATCATAATCACCTCAGGTAAGCATAACAAGGAACATATTTGGATCTCATTAGATCATAATGATATCAGGTAGGCATAACAAGGAACATATTTGGATCTCGTTAGATCATAATGATCTCAGGTAGGCATAACAAGGAACATATTTGGATCTTCTCAGATCATATTGATCTCAGGTAGGCATAAGAAGGAACACATTTAGATCTCATCAGATCATAATGATCTCAGGTAGACATAACAAGGAACATATTTGGATCTTCTCAGATCATAATGATCTCAGGTAAGCATAAGAAGGAACAGATTTGGATCCAACAGCAATCAACCAAATGCCAGCTTTCATTTACATAAGGACAGTAAGCTGACATCTGATAGGCTGCTCTGCGATGCGGTATGGGGTGATTAACTGATAACTCCCATAGGTGTGATTCAGGCATGCATAGCTGTGATCAGCCTCCTGGTGTGGAACTACAATTCCCGGCATGTCAGGGAGAGTCACAAGCTGCCCACTGCGCTCTCTGCCTGTTGTGACATCCCAGCACTGAGCACCACCTCTCAGGACAGGGAATGCTGGGACTTTTAGTCCTACACTCTTCCCCACAGGTACACAGTGCATGGGCCAAGTTGCAGCCATCCTAAACAGTTCATGAGCACAGGCCGCCCAGAACTGCTGAATGCCCCCCTTCCATGTCCAGCCTTCCTCCACTCTGCCTACCTTCCATGTCCTGCATATCTCCCCCGCCATACGCCATTGTATTACAGTTCTCCTAGTTCCGGAAGCCTCCGCCTCCACCAATCACAGTGCAGTGGCTCGACAGCCAATACAAGAGACCGCGGGGAGGATCTTGTACGCATGCGCGAATCCCACGGCTCCTGAGAGTTGTAGTTATGCTGATGATAAAGTGACCAGCGGATTGTATGGGCAGCCTGCGTTACTGTCATTTATGCTCCATACATTCTACTATACTTCCAAAAACACTCCCATTATGCAGACATTTCTGGAAGTCTTTATAAAAAGCCTTACCTTGTACCTATAGTGCGTATAAGCACGTAAATGAATGCTAACAACGTATCTTACAACAAAAAAACACGCTCTATGTAACTAGATGCAAACAGTCGTTGTATTTATTAATCGTGCTTTGTCATGAAGGACCTGGTGGTCGGTTAGCTGTAGGCCGAATCTCATTAATAAAGGGCTGGGCTTTGTAAACAAATGTCCTGCTGGCGTCCCTAGCAACCACCGGCCCGCTCTTTTCTGCCACAGCGGAGGTGTGTCTCTCTGCCTGACAACATTTTTCTGCCATTCATTGGACGAAAGACCCGCCGGTCATTTGACACTAACATCTGATTGGGCGGCATGTTCAAACCTTCGAGTTCCGCCCTTTCCGCCACACAGCGCGCTGTCTCTGGGAAGGATGACATAAGAGGTGTGATGCTGTGAGTACTGAGGTGTGTGGGCTATTGTTGTTGTGTGGAGGGTGGGCAGCACCTTTAAGCTGTGTTGGGGGGGAGTCTCTGCTCCGCTCCGCTCCGCTATATGGGGGGCTGGTGACCATTGCACGTAGCCGGGCTTGTTTACATTGTATAGAGCACTGTGGCTGGGAAGCTCTTTGTTATCATTGCTGGAGGATCGTAACTTGTGATTAGGATAATAGAGATCGGTAATGTCTGATAGTTGCCAGCTTCCCCCTCACAGTCATAGAGCCAGGCTTTGTAGATATCCAAAACGGATCAATTCACATTGGTAAAGTATTTTTAAACTTGTGCACATGGACTGTAACAACGCTGCTTGTAGATCTTTCCATCAGTACGTTTTTGTTTTTTTTCTTATAGTTTTATTGTAATAAAAATGTTTTTTCAACCCCTGCAGTGCAAGGGTTAACTGCTTATTTTTGTCTAGAAAAAAAATTCATACTCACCGCTTAGGCCGGCTCCTTGCTTCTCCTGTCTCCTCCTAAGTTGCAATGTTCCTCAGCATCCCAACATCTATACACTGAGGGGAATTTATCAACATTTGGAGCAGCTGTGCATGGCAACCAATCAGCTTCTCTCTTTCATTTTAAAATCTTAACAGAATAAACTGAAGAGAGATGCTGATTGGTTGCCCTGGGCAACTGCTCCAGTTTTGATAAGTTCCCTTCGCTGTGTATAGAATGTGATGATTTACGGGACCTTAGACTGCTGCAGATGAAAGGGAGACAGGCTGGAAGGAGAACAAGCCGGCCAGGTGAGTATAACTTTTTTTTATTTTTAGCACCTAGACAAAAGGGAGCAGTTAACCCTTGCAGTGCGGGGTAGGCCCACCACAAGGGTGAATACAAGTTTTGCCCGGAGTTCTCCTTTAAAATCTAAGTTGACCTTTCTCACCATGTTTCATGTTACACCCATAGTCAAGGTCTTCTTCCACAGGATCTGTGAATGGAGAGACCACAAGTCATCAGCCACTGCGACAGAGGGACTTGTAGTTCTCAATTCAATACAAGTATGGTGACGTCCTCTCCCCTTCATTCATTCTTCCTCCCATCTATGTTACTGAATGTCCGTACCGAGCTGCAGACAGCGACAAGAGGGAGAATCTATAGAGGAGCCGGAGCACTTCACCCACAATCCACTGATCGCGGTTGCAAAGCTTCACTGGCTCCAATGCAACAAATAATAATAATTGCTTGTGTTTTTTCTTTTATGAAGACGTGTGGGGAGCAGGGGTGTACCTATCGCAAGGCAAACTAAGCATTTGTCTAGGGTGGAACTTTCCAGGGGGGCAGCAGAAAGCGCCGCCCTAAACCAATGAGGTGGACAGGGCCAGACTTGCCTTTGGGCATACTGGGCACTTGCCCAGTGGGCCGAGGCTGGTGGCAGCACAGAATCAGGCAGCAGCGGCTGCCTAATGAGGCGAACTAGGCGGCCGCAAGGCCCCAAGAGCTGTTGCCTAATTAGAGAGCTGCCCGGTGGACGGGAGGGCCCAGTGAGATGCGGTCCGGCTGGCTTTGTGCAGGAGGTGGGGTAGAAGCAGCGGGTGGCTCGGGGCTGGCCATAGCATGTGATCTGATGGCGGGATGTCCCAGAAGCAGGCTGGGGACTGCAATGTATTCTTTAGATTGAGGGGTGGTGAGTGTATCTTCTTTATTTTCTCCCCTAGAGAAAAACTAGCATTTAACCCTTGCAGTGTGGGGGCAGCCCCACTTCAAGGGTTAACTTCTCAGCACGCCTCTAAATCAGTCCCAACTTGTACAGTGGCTCCTGTGTAGAAGACTATCAGATTATTGATCTCCCTACATAGAGTATAGGAAGACAATCAGCATGCTGGTATATCTTTTGGTATGCACATTTATGTGACTATGCTGTACATTCTGTAGTAATACAGCGAGGTCTGTCACCAGCAGCATGACACATAACCCGGTGACAGCTGCTGGATATACATGTGACTGGGATGCTGTTATCTCAGCCTGAGCGTCACACTTGGCACATCAAGCTGACTGTGTGGGAAGATACAGCGAAGCTCTAATACTGTCACATCCATTCTATATGTTCATTTCAGTGGACTCGGTGAGGACTGTATGCAGATTATTGTGTATTGCCGTGTTAGTGGAAGAGTTCTAATCACTCACAACACTTATTTCAACAGGCACAATTAGGCACAATCTTTATAAAGCCATTATTTGTGACTTTCACCGGAAATTCACTGCTGGTGAATCAATCACTGTTATTTAAAACACATGCACCTGGAAGATTAATCTGAAGTGAAAGTTTGGTGAAAGTCAGATTCACTGCTTTATAAAAATACCTCTTCTAGTCGTATTCTGTGCTGTTTTATTAGAGTTGTAGCACATTTTAGCTGACTATAGACATGTAAGCACAAATGGAAGATCAGACTTCCACATGATCATTCTGTAACCCATGAAGACGTACACATGTGGATCATTTCAGCCAAGCATGCATGATTTATGCATTAAGTAGACACCCATGGTACCAGCCTTGTCATGTGAACAGCAGTCATCCGTGGTACCAGCCTCGTCATGTGAACAGCAGGCATTCATGGTACCAGCCTTGTCATGTGAACAGCAGACATTCAGACATCCATGCTACCAGCCTCGTCATGTGAACAGCAGACATTCACGGTACCAGCCTTGTCATGTGAACAGCAGACATCCGTGGTACCAGCCTCGTCATGTGAACAGCAGACATTCATGGTATTAGCCTTGTCATGTGAACAGCAGACATCCGTGGTACCAGCCTCGTCATGTGAACAGCAGACATCCGTGATACCAGCCTCATCGTGTGAACAGCAGACATACGTGGTACCAGCCTCATCGTGTGAACAGCAGACATACGTGGTACCAGCCTCATCGTGTGAACAGCAGACATACGTGGTACCAGCCTCATGTAAAAAAGCAGACATCCATTGTGCCGCCTCAAAAAGCGCCATATAGCTCCTACTGTCACCAATGACGGGGCACTATTCCTTCCATTGACACCAACAATAGGGCAATTATACTCCCTGTGCTGACCACAGGTGCTAGGTCATCTTTAATGCCCCCTGACCACTGAGCTTGGGACATTTTTTACTTCCACTGATGCTGGAGCATTTTCAACTCCCCCACTCAAATTCTCAAGCACAGCAAACTGGCCTTTTGTTTATAAGTTTGAGGACATGAATAGGAAAATTAGAAAGAGCTTGCATCTTCCATGGTGCCCTTGCTAAGGATAAGATCAGATAGTCATCTGTCACCACACATGCAATGTATCGTTGGTCCTATTATGTTTTATTTTCACCATTTGTCATATATAGCTAACATTTTGGGGTGTCTATGTTACCCTGAGGAAGGGATCCTATGCAGCCCCAATATGTTGGCTATATTTGACAAATGGTGACAATGATTCAATAAAACGTAATAGGATCAACAATACATTGCATGTGTGCTGGTGACTATCTGATCTTCATTGGAATTGCACACGGCGCCATACAAGTTATCACTACGAGCACCACCATCCTGTAAGGTCACAACGCTGTATAGAGTGCAGGTGACTCACCACAATATTGCTTAGGATAAGTTCTTTTTTTTTCCTCCTTTAAGGAAACCTTGTCTTAGTAATCCACTGGCCGCAGTCATGTCCTCAATTCTTCTGGACAGTGAATTGGCCCCTTGTTTAGGAAGTTTGATGACCCTTGGTCTAGATCTTTCCAGTGTTTTATTAGGAGCTGATTGTACTGATGTTTGATGTTTTCATGCTTCATAAACATGTTTTCTTTTTTTTCTTAAAGGAAACCTTGTCTTAGGCATGGAGGCTTCAGTTGTGCCACATTCCCCTTGTTCTTCACTGCACAGTGTTTCTCTGCTAAGCAAGTCTTTTCCCCAACTGCCTAACCCACGAAGGAGAAGACATGGGGGAAGAACCAGGGACCACTGGAATACAGCCAGCCTTACTGGTAACACAACAGCACAATAATAATAAAACCTCTGCTTCTGATAAGTAGCCACCCGACAATGTCTTTAAAAGGATTATTCATGATTAACAAAAAGACACGAGTCACATGATTTCTCCTTCATGTGTTCAGTTGTATATCCACTTAATTACAATTAAAAGTTTCCAAGCTTTACACCCCTGTTTAATCCGCCTTGAATATGGTCTCCGGTGACAGCAACTGTTATACTTGATCTTACCATCTACTACCTGACTGCAGTAATGATGTTTTGCAAGATAGGGGGGACCGTTGGTGAATGTAATGGGATCTGTGTCCAAGAGTAATCCTTGTGCTTTAGTACATAGAGAAGTCACAGGCAGTAAGCAAGTCTTATGTTCTGCACAGAAATCCTTTTATCTTCCATTAGTTATTTGTAATTAGCCTTAAAGTTCTTTCAGTAATTGTATAAAGTAATCAGAATGTATTGCATGCCCACTCCTGGGATAAGTGCTGTGATCTGTTTTTCTCTAATGCACATTAAAGCAATCTATAATCTGCATGTAAGGTATATTTGAGACTTGGTAAGGACAGGCATGAAAAAAGACCTGTTGTTGTATTGTGTGTTGTTCCTGTTTGTTTTTTAAATAATTATTTAAATATATTTTTCCTAGGTGATGATTGGAGCTCTTACAGCCTGTCTTCAGCTGCCAGTAACATTCTACTCCGCTCACCCCTGGAGTCTGCCAGTGGAATACCCACTCCAGATGATACCATACACTCATTACCTTCATGTGCACGAAGTTCCAGCAGAGCTGTACTGACTGTCAGCACCAGGACCACACAGGTACACATCATACCTTTTGCCAGTGTTTTATATCCTATGGGGCAACTAAGGGAAATATGTAGGTTGCCAATGATGGCCGCCTTCTAAATTTTCTCATTGCCTGATGGATCAATGTAAACCAGTCTCAGTCTCAACCCATTTTTTTTTCACAGAGGAACCCTTGAAATAATGTATGGGTCTTAGGGAACCCCCTACTAAAAATAATAATATCTACAGCTTATGATGCATTAATGTGATCAGTAAGCAGATTTAATAATAAAGGGATATGGAGTGTGGCATACCTTGCTCATTTGACACCAAAAGTGGGTAATTTTTTTTAACAAATCCTCCACTACACCACTACTTTGCTTTCAGTAATCATTAAATTAACCTAATGATAATGGCCAGGAAAAAAATTACAGACAGTGAAAAGTGCAGTGCCCCATTACATTTTTGGTTATAGGTAATCCCCCTTACATTGGCTGTCAGAGCAATGCCCCTTTACATTGGTGGTCAGTGGAAAAGTGCCCCTCTTACACTGTAGGTCATCAGAAAAGTGCCCCTCTTACACTTTAGGTCATCAGAAAAGTGCTCCTCTTACACTGGAGGTCATCAGAAAAGTGCCCCTCTTACACTGGAGGTCATCAGAAAAGTGCCCCTCTTACACTGGAGGTCATCAGAAAAGTGCCCCTCTTACACTGGAGGTCATCAGAAAAGTGCCCCTCTTACATTGGTAGTCAGTCGAATAGGTGCCCCCTTTACATTGGTGTTGAGTGTGAGAGATGAACCCTTACATTGGTGGTCAGTGAAAGGAATGACCTGTCATATTGCTTACTGCTCAAGGAACCCCTAAAAGTACTGTATCTGCAGCAGAACAAAATAAAAATCATATTCAGTACATTTCACTTATGCATATACTGTATTTGTTTTCTCATGTTTTATACCTTTTAAAATCCCTGCAAATACAGAAAAGTACCTGTTACTCTACCAAAAATCCAGTGTGCTCCTAATTTCCTGTTTGGGCTGACAACACATGTCTTATCTTCATGGAAATCCCAACCAGCATTGCCAGCTCTGCCTGCTTGACTTCAGAACTCTGCCTATATCCTCTCTGTCCCACTCTACATATATACGTTGATTTCTTTCCTGACAAAACAATACTGCTGCCTTGACTCCCAAGAGCCTGCCTACATACTGTATGTACATGCTGGATGTAGGGAAAGGTGTCTTTGGGAGATGGAGTTCTGAGAGACGTGCCCATGCCAATAGTAAATGAGCGCCCAGCAGCTGCCTCTGCAAGAATTTTACAAACCTGATGATGTTATGGAGAGAAATAAAAGCTGTTTCTCACAGGAACAAGGCAAAGAAAAAAGAAATAATGCTGGAACATGTTCTAGAGCAGCGGATCTTAACCTGTGAGTCGCGACCCAAAAGTAGGTTGCAAATCACTGTTGAGGGGGTCTTAGCATCCACTTCTGCTGCGCTAGGTGAGAGGCTCCTCAGCCTCCTCCTAGCGCAGCAGTGTCAGTCAGCGGGAGGACAGCAGAGGCTGTGAATATAAAAGTGCCGCTATATACACTCCCTGGCCGCTGCAGCGACATCTAGTGGCCGGGGAGTGTTCAGCAGGGCTTTCCTATTCACAGCCACTGCTGTCTTCCTGCCTCCAATACAATGTGAGCTCTGCAGGAGGCGGGTGTCTAAGCAGTGCTGGGGCTGAGAAGGCTGCATGGAAACAGAGCATGTAGCAGAGGCTGGGGAGGGCTTGTATTCTTGTGAGTGTGCTTCTATTTTTAGTCCCAAGTCCAGCACCTTACTTATTCAGGAGTCCAGCGCTCCGTTGGGGGTCACCACAACTTGGCAAATGTTACCAAGGGGTCCCGGCCCTAGAAAGGTTGAGAACCACTGTTCTAGAGGGAGAGAAGGAGGTTGGGGGGTACATTTAAGTATTGTCTGGACATACCGTTGACGAGTTTATTTATGAACATGTTAGGATAGCAGTCAGCCTGACAGCAGCGTTTAGCAGTTTAGTGCAGTCAGTGGCGCCTGATAGTAGGAAAGTGTTTTCCAAGCAACTTATGTTTTCCAGATCACTGCTTTTGTTTACATGATTTCTTATTTACTTACATTTTATTTACCATAAGCTGCAGAAACACCTCCTGAACTTGTTAGAAGCACCCCTGGGAGCACACACTTGTGCTGTGTGAGTGAATACAGGCAATCTACTGTTGTCACAGTGTGCACCTTTTAAATATTTCATTGGTTATCAGCTTTTAATAGCACGGCTTCTTTTGTTAGCGTTATTTGAAGAACAACCTTTTATATACGTACAATGTTTTCAGAATGCCATGTGTCTACAGAATGCTCTTTATCTTTCTTTAGGTTTTAATGGCCAATGATAAGGCTTGCAGGCTCTTTGGATATAGCAGTATGGAGTTAATTGGAATGGGTTTGTCCAGTTTGATTCCTGCATCCAGCCACCGAATCTCCGAGGTTTTAGAGGAGGAGCTCACAGAAGCTGATGGCATTTCACGGGTACCTGGAGAAGTGGTAAGTGTGACCTTATTATAAAGACTTTATATGGAATGCACTGTGAGCTTTGGGCTTGTGTCGATGGTATCAGTTTGACGTCAGTGTGAGACGCTTCTGATATCATTCAGAATTCATCAATGGATTCAGTGACCTTCAGTGATTCAATGACCTTCAGTTGAGCTCCATTTGACCTGCTTCAAGCGGGTTTGCATCAGCGTAGACTTGCATTGCAATGTGATTCCCACTTAAAATGAACAACGTCCATTGACACATGTCCTAAGAACATTTATAAAACAGATCATGTAGAAGGATGGTTCTACAATATAAATCTAAATTTAGAGTGCGTCAAATGAGGTGCTTCTTGTTCTCATTCATTGAGGGAGAGTGCCATGACTAAAAAGCCAGGTTATTTGGCAACTGACATAATCATGTCACCTTGCTGGGATATTCGATGTAATTTCTGGAAGTACAGGCTGTGTCAGAGCCTAAACAGGTGAATTTCCTTTTCCACTCCACCAGTGAGAGTATTTTGGCCTGGTCATTGGCTGCTCAGGGCTAGGCATTGCATCCTGAGAGAAAGGGAGAAGGTCAGATTCTCCCCCATGAAAGTAGTGAATATATCCTAGGGCTGTGACACGAGTGGTGAGGGAGTACCTCATAGGTGAATATCAGCGTGAAGGGTTGTTGTTAATAGAACCTGCCACTTTGTCCTTATTGGGTAAAGGGACAGGCTCCTATGGGGCCCATTCACACCAACAAGCTGTTCTCCATGCATGGCCACTGGGGGGCGCTGACATGTTCAGTGCTAATGCACTGATCTCAGGGCATCCAGGTCTTTACTTTTTTGTTAAAACTTTATTGAAATGTCATGAGACATTTCATAAAGTTTTGTTGGTACAGCATACTGCACTGCGGTTGTACCATGTCACACCATGCTGTGCTGAAAAAAATATTGCCTTGTCTGTATGTTCTGCATGCACCAGCGCAGCCCCAATGCATGTGACGTGTATGGTCCCTTAAAGCAGAACTCCAGGCAAAAGTGTTCTAAACCCTTGCAGTGGGGCTGCCCCCCGCACTGTAGTGTCCTCACATCCTATACACTGTGTATAGAACGTAATGATTCAAGGATCCTTAGACTGCTGCAATGGGGGCCGAGAGAGGCTCCAGGAACTGGTCTAAAGGCAAGCTGGCTAGGATCAGGTGAATAGAACTTTTTTTTTTCATAGCACCTAGACAAAACCAAACACTTAACCCTCGAAGTGCGGTGGTAGCCACACGGCAAGGGTTAAGAACATTTTTGCCCAGAGCTCTGCTTTAAAGAAAGGATTTACCAAAGCCAAATATTTCAGCCCCCGAATATCTGCAGTGAGCCCTCCTGCAAGACATTTAATGTAACAAATGATTGCCTGTCTGTAGATGAGACTACAAATAATGTACAGTCTCCCTTCATATGTATGTACATACTATCTACACAGTGGACAGAATGTGTGTTTCTAAACCTCGAAAAGAATGTGGTGTTTAATATTCAGAAACATAACTGATAAATGGCGATTTAGAAAGTCTGTGCCGGAGTCTCTGGAGACCCACAATGTTCGTATGGAGTGTTTTGAAGTGCAGATGATGCAGGCTTTGCCGGAGGAATCCTAGAACTTCTGTTCATTGGAAGTCTTAGATCTCTACATACAGCCTTTTAATCTTTTTGAAGAGGACACAATGTAGACATTTGTAGATTAAGATGGGAACACGTAGTCTTCCTTGTGCCTTCTATTTATAAAGAAAGTCTCTACAGGGAATGAAATAGCAGCCACATCAAAATCCCATTTTCTGCTAACATCTGAAGATGTGTCTGGACGTAGATTCAGACTGTGACTCGAATGAATGAATTAGATGCAGCATAACAGTATTCTGGTCAGCTCATTCTCAGAATAAACACTTCTAACCTTTCAGTGGTTGTCCTGTTCATCCAAAGCACATCCAGTACTGTATATGTCACTTCAGATTATATGAGGAACCAAGTGGAACGTTTTATATAAATTGGGGGAAATTTATCAAAACTGGAGCAGAAAAATCTGGAGCAGTTGCCCGTGGCAACCAATCAGCACCTCTCTTCCGTTTCCTCAGCTAAGATTTGAAAATGAGACAGAGAAGCTGATTGGTTGCAGTGCAAATCTGTTCCAGCTTTGATAAATTCCCCCCATAGTTTATAAACTGTGCCACCGGTATGGGTTATGTGTGAACTCTATGGGGGGAATTGATCAAATCTGGAGCAGTTGCCCATGGCAACCAATCAGCTTCTCTCTTCAGTTTGCTCAGTTAATATTTAATATTTGAAAATGAAAGAGAGCAGCTGATTGGTTGCCATGCACAGCTGCTGCAGTTTTAGTCTGCGCCAGTTTTGATAAATTCCTTTCTATTTAGCCACATCCATTAAGATAATAGACGTGAGATGCAAAATTAGATATAGCACTTGGTAAAGTAGCTTGACTAAACTGCATCTAAATGGCTCCTTTGCTATGAAATTCACCCCCCCCCCCCCATAGATTTTTTTTTTTTATTAAAGTAAATACATTTGTTTTCGAAAAATAATCACATAAGACCCACGAACATCATATACATGGACCTAACAGTGCCAGTGGGGTTGGGAAGATAAGGCTTTATATGCCAGAGCTGGACAAATCCCAGGAACCAGGTGGCCAATGCTCCTTAGAAAAGACAGCCCCTGCACCTAATGTTACAGGTTTTCTCTAGTTCTTGTCAATGGAGCAGGCTCCTAAAAAAAAAAAAAAAAAATCAAGCTGGCTCCTGGATTGGACAGACTGGTTCCTGAATTCCATATTCATTTGTCTTCCCCTATTCTACACCATGCAGATGATGTAGCTGACTTTAAGATCCACACACACCCAGACCGATCACTCTACACGGCTTCCTTGCACACGCTGCTTTACATGCAGCATGTGCAAAGTGAACATACAGTTCCCTTTTCCAGCGGAGACCTTCCTGCACGCTGTGTATTTTTGTTGTAGACTCTATTTGTTGTCATGGTATAATTTCATTATGTAATGTTTTGCCTTTCAGGTTGAAGCAGTGCGCAATGGAGGAGATGTGGTCATGCTGCGTTTGTGGATACGCAGAGTACAGAGCCAATGTCTGCTGTTCCTTGAGACGGCCCAGACTATTACAACTGTTCTATCATTTCGGCAAGATGTGCGTTATTGTCCCGATATTAGGTCTTGTCAGTCATTGAAATGTGTTATGCATGCTTATTCCTATTCACGACTTGCTGTACTTGGTGCCACATTGGCATTTTGTTATTTCTTATTTCACATAAAAGAGCGACTAGCTTTAACCCCTTCATGACTGTTTTTTTAGTTTCCGTTCCTTAAAGACTGTCACACTTTTTACATATTTGCTGTGTGATACTTTCTTACTAAGTGCACCCATACGTAATATATATTGTTTTTTTAGAGGACAGATAGGGCTATGTGTTTATATCACATATGTGTGCCTAACGCCTCATTTAGGGCAAATCAAATATAAACAAAACAAGAAGAAAACACCTTTTCCCCAGTTTTGATTATTGTTCTTTTTTAGAAAAATAGCACAGCTAAAAAAATGCAATACATTAATTTTATTTGTCCTCTTTGTGGAAACACCTCATATCCGTAAGATTTTAGAAAATTTACTGTATTATTATTATACAGGACTTGTATAGCGCCAACAGTTTGCGCAGCGCTTTACAATAGAAGGAAGACATTACAATCACAATTCAAGACAAGATGGTAAGGAGGGCCCTGCCCCTGAGGGCTTACAGTCTAAAAGGGAGGGCCAAGTGATACATGAGGAGGTAGCTGTGCGGGGATGAATTGTTTGAGAAGGTGATGGTTCAGTGGTTAGGTTGAGGTGGGATAGGCTTCCCTGAAGAGATGATTCTTAATGAGTCTGTACTTCTCAGTCTATAACTAAAAGCTAACACTTTCATTTTTTTTCCTCTAAAAGCTAATAGTGGTCACCTGGCATACAATGTCACTAAGTGCCACACTTAGTGACAGCGACATACTTTGAACATCACCGTCATGAGGGGGTTACATTTTTTAAAAATTCGTGAAAAACAAATCTGCAGCTCAGCTGCAGATTTTAATTGTAAGGGATAATTTTTTTTGTAGTACTGATAGTATAAAAAAAAATGTATATATACATTTTTAGTTGTCAAATTTATACATTTTTGTTACACTTTCCACGATTTAAGCACTTTTAAAAAAAATTATAAATCAAGCAGTCATTGTGAATGAATCTCACTATGACTGCTTGCTAATTTAATTCATTCATTTTTGCTTATTGTTAGGTGGCTCCAAACTTAGGAACAGCCAATAATACCCTTAGTGACACTGATCCCGACAGCATATCAGGATCAGTGTCATTAAAGGCTTCTGATCGTTCCCAGAATGATCAGAAGCCTGTAACATTAAAAAAAAAAAAAAACCCAGCATACATCGGAATATCCTGATCTATACCAGCTGTCAAACAGTGACAGCAAGTGCGGTAAATACTGCTCTGCTATCACTGTCAGACATCTGATCTCTGAAAGGGATCACGTGTCTGTAAAAGCTAAACTTTTTCATAAATGGATGCCTCAATACTGAGACATTCATTTATGAACGGTAACCATTGCTTCTCACCGGTTACCGGCATAAGAGATCCCCAAATAGTTGCTCGTGTACCGGAGCAGTTATTTGAGCACTTAGTGGCGAGGACGTACAATGTATGTCTCCTGTCACTAAGGGGTTAAAGTAGTATTAAACTCTCAAACTTCAATAATGAATCCTGATCAAACAAATACACATTGCCCAGCAAAGTATTTCTTTTAATTTCTGCCCAAGCATTTACAGTCCTCATGTTTCCGAACAGCTCCAACTTTCTCAGCTCAGCTGAGAGAGGAGACGTGAACAGGAAGCAGAGGAGTTGCTTATATTGCTGGGTCTGTGTGCTTGTGGAGATGCACAAACAAGGGTGACTCCATAGGACCCCGCAAGGGAAAGGAGCCACCCTAAATCAGGATATCAGGACCAGTGCTCAGGGGACAGCTGAGCCTGCAGGAAACTAACATTTTTAAACATCAAGGAGCAGCATCCATTTTAAGTTATTTAATCAGCATTTGAAATAGCTTAAAAACCTTTTGACTTGAATTGCACTTTAAAGGTATTCTTAAAGAAGAACCCCAGCCATATTCTCTTCCTCAAAGAGTGGAGTGTCTATAGATGTCTGTGTACCTGTTGTGGAAATTTTCTCTCCAACTTACTATGGTGAGTGCAGTTCTCTCAGTGGGTACACAGGGCAACGTTCTAACCCTTCAGAACTATCCAAAATTGAAGGAAACATTTTTCAAGTTCCATTGTAATGACAGAAATCTGAATGCAAGCTGTTCTCTGATGAGACAAGGGGCGGTGATGGCTTAATGTGCCCCTCGTCCACCAGAATACTCCTTGTATGCATTGACAAAAATACTTGGCGTTCTCTGAATGGCCGCTGTGCTGAGGGAGAGACCTTCTGTGTTTTCAGAGCAGAAGGTAAGCTGCTTAGCTCAGTGCCACTACAGGACCTGAAAAGTGCTGTAGTAGCTCCAGCTACTACAACAGGATCCCCAGTGTCCGATCAGGTATGACATATGTCTACTTACATTGGGCCAAGCTGAACCAATGTAAGTATGCATAAAGAGTTGTATCTGGTGTTCAGCTTTAGGCTAAGGAACCCCAGAATTTTTTATCTTAAAGGAGAACTATGAGGTGAGTGCTTTTCACTAGTTCTAGCCGACCTGTGACAATGAGACTGTCACAGGTCGGCTCAGTAGATCGGGAGGTGAGCGAACACATACCGTCGGTCGTTCACCTCTCGATCCTGTCACGGCTCTCTGCCGTGACAGGGGAGGGGCTGGATTCCCCGCTCCGATCCGCCAGCGCTGACTGGCGGAACGGATGGGTGAGGGGGCGGGTACAGCTGGCTCTGCCTCTAGATAGGCAGAGCCAGCTGTCAGTCACGCAGCTGGGCGGATCCCGACATAATTGTCGGGATCCGCTTCAGCTGCATCGTCTCAGTATACCGCGAGCAGCAGCTCGCGGTATACTGCGGCGTCTCAGTATACCGCGAGCTAAAGCTCGCGGTATACTGAGCCTAGGGTGACGGGAGGACGCTAGTTTGTGTCCTCCCGTTACCCTAAGGAGAACTACGGGGAAAAGCCTTAACCCCATAGTTCTCCTTTTAAGTGCTGGATTTTTTAGGTGTAATCTAGTCATTGAATGTGGAACAATTCTGCCAGTGTTGTGATGCACACACCCCTGCCACACTGTTTAGTCAGGCAGGAGGCACTCTTTTCCCTGTTTGTAGCTCCTCTTGCCACCTTTCTGTCTTAAGACTATTTACTGGGTTAGAATCTCACTACTGAATAATTTCTCTGTGGGCAGACAGATGACATATACAAGCTGTAAAGATTTGTCAGATAAAGCAATTCATATATATGTATTAAGCTGTTTGCCAGGAGTTCCGATATAATCCTTGCTTAATCCTACCCATTTAATGATTATAGATTAGTGACTGGTTATCACTTTGTGTCTTCTAGGGGAGAATTGTTTCCTGTGATCTATCTTGTGCACAACTTTATGGCTATACAGACCCAGAGGAGGTTCTAGGGCACCACATTACAGACCTAATGCCATCCGTTCAAGTCCCCCACCATAAAAAAGAGATGTCGCAGGTAAAAGCTGCAACTATATATATACTACTGAAATCTGTTTGTTTGTTTGGTTTGTTGGATGAGGAGCAATAGCTTTGATGCATGAGAATATTTCTAAGGGGACCCACAAATCTATAGCTACCAGCTGGATGAGCCCCTCTCCTCCTACCATTTCTCAATGGAGACACATTGTATATCAGTGAATGTCATGTATAGGAAAGGTAACTGCCCCAGAGGTTCAATAATATTTGGGACCGTTGGTGTAACTTCACACTTAGGTGGTTCCAACTAATTACCCCATTCACCATTTCATTCTTTTGCCTATTTAGATATAACTATGCCTTATCATTCATTTTGTTTAGAATGCATTGCATATTTGTAATCCTGTACAATGTTTGTATTAGTACAACAAACAGAGTTGGAAAAAAAAGATACAACTATATGGCCCCTTTCACGTGCACGATCCGATCGGATCCATCAGTTTTTCAGGCGCACCCAATTGGATGCCCCGTACTAGTCTATGGGCAGCTGTGTGTAAACGAATGGGCATTTGTTTTAGGGCTGCAACAACTAATCAATTAAATTGATTATGAGAATAGTTGACAACTATCCCCATTATCGATTAGTTGGGGCTGGGAGTGTTTTTTTTAATGCAACCAATCGAGTAATCGGGCAATTAATCGATTATGAAAATAATTGTTAGCTGCAGCCCTAATCCGTTTACACCCGGTTACCCTGACTCCAGCCAGGTCCAGAAAAGAAACAGAACAGTGTTCTGTTTTGATGGACCTGATTGTGCCGGATCGGGGGTAATCTGATGGAAATGGACACATGTCTGTGTAAATACGATTCCCCATAGACCAAGACAGGGTCCAGTCATTTCAGTTTTTTCCTCCATTGCAAGATGAAGTAAAAAACTGGACGGACACAGATGTCACAGCGGTGACATCCCATCCGTACCGCTCCGATCAGGAGGAGATCCATGTCCGTGAAAGGGGCCTATCATTTATCATACATTTTTGGGAAAGACCAGCATTACTTTTGTGTCCTACCTAAGACTGCTTAAAGGAAATCCGTGGTATTGCCAGAGTTTGGTAGACTTCAAACATTGCTGTTAAACTCTCTACACTATTAAATTATAGTGTACAATCCTTTTTTAGGTTCCTCAAAACTGCGTAATGGATGGGGATACCCTGTTGGTTAGGTGTTTTGGCTCTACAGTTTTTTTGTAAATTTAAAGCCACACTCTGGGCAAAATGATAATTTACACACCGCATTGGGTATTGTAATTATCATTAAAAAGCTGTGTGTTATGTGCTGAGGACTGCTGCAGAGTATAAAAATCTTGCCTTGTACGCCATCTCCTGCACGTAACACAGAGGAGAGGGAGAGATGTGATTCGAGCAGTACAGTTTCCCAGATTGTGGCTTTAAATAAGCAGGAACCTTTTAGATCAGTGGTTATCAACCTGTGTAACCTCAGGACCCACATTTGTCTTTAGTCATTAAGTCGCAACCCAAGTTGCACTGCAATGTAATGCACAGAATTAGGGTACCGCGTGTTCCAGTGCAGGCGTATGACCTGTGAGTGGGGGGTGCGTTTAGGGGGAACCATTCAAATGAATAGCAACCCAACACACCTCCCACACCAGAATGCATGGTAGATGTGATTGCATGGTACAGTGCATTAATCGCACGGTACTATGCAATTAACGCACTGTACAAGTGTGAACGGGCCCTCAAAAACACTGACCTACATACACAACTACAGACACAATCTGTTGAACTGTGACGGAGCTCCATCCATATGTGCATTGCTTGTACAGCTCCCTTGTGCGCCCTGTGGATTTGCCGGGAGCCAGAATGTGATGTCACTCTGGTCCAGGCACCTCTTTAGTACATGTGAGGGAGCTTTAAGCAATGCACTTATGGATGGAGCGCCCTCGCGGCCACAGCCCCATCCCACCTCAAGCTGACACTCGGCACCAGGCAGCATATTTTGAATGGCTGCTTGGCGCAAGAACTGACAGTGCTGCGCTAGGGGAGGCAGAGGAGCCTCTCACCTAAAAAAGTGGAAGGCATGCGGTGACCCACTGAACACGGGGTCGAGACCCACCTTTGGGTCACGACCCACCAGTTGGGAACCAAGGCTTTAGATCATGCCTTTAGATTACTGTTGGAGCTCTCTCTGAACCCCGGGTGTTGCATTACGCAAAAACCTACTTGAGAAAGGAGAATTCAAATTGGCCCACACCCGCTGTCTTTCAGTTTTCTCACTATTAGTCTATAGCTAGGATTGTTGGCCTCATCGACCAGTTGAGGTGTGAGAGGGAATGTGTCCAAGCTGAACTTAACGTTCTTAAATCTCATAATAAAGCACCTTCCTTTTCCAGCTGATATACAGTATCCATGTGTAAACACTGTGTATCATAAACAATTGCTATATTTTTCTTAAAATAAAATGCATGTCTTCACCTTTTTCTCATCTTTTGTTGTATCTTTGTTGTGTTGTATCGTTTGTGTGGCTGCTCTCCTGTAGCCTCTTTGCAGACTTTTCCTCTCTCCGTTCATGCACTCCAGCAATGGCATTTGTCAGCAGTGACAGGCATAGTGTCTCAGATGATCTCACGCTGCTGATACACAGCTAAGAGGCTTAAGGCACACTGTTATTTTTCAGCTGGAATTTATTTTTTCTGGGCTTTGCTTAGGCACAATTACTATTTCTAGATGTTCCCTATGTAATAGCAAATGTTCACGTTTTGAGTTCAGGTTCTCTGACCCTGAATGGCTTTACTTGTCACATGGGTTTGCTCTTTAATTGCCCATTGACATTGAGTAATCCCTAATGTTCTCCTGCCAATGGGTGATCCCTAATTTTCTCCTGGTATGGAGAGATCCCTAAGGTTCTCCTGACGTCGAGCGACCCCTAAGTTTCTCCTGACGTCGAGCGACCCCTAAGGTTCTCCTGACGTCGAGCGACCCCTAGGGTTCTCCTGGCGTCGAGCGACCCCTAGGGTTCTCCTGGCGTCGAGCGACCCCTAGGGTTCTCCTGGCGTCGAGCGACCCCTAGGGTTCTCCTGGCGTCGAGCGACCCCTAAGGTTCTCCTGGCGTCGAGCGACCCCTAAGGTTCTCCTGACTGTGAGCTATCAAATGCTCAGCAGAAGAATTTTACCAGGTCCATTCCTAAGAGGTCTGTCAATTGGGTCAAGACATTCATAAGCTGCTGCTGGTAGTATGGGCACAGGTACGAACTATCTAATGTGACCATCATTGACTTGGATGCTTGAAATGTCTTGTAAGCAGGGCTGAACAACCCCAAAAGCCTGGTACACATAATTAAATCCAAAACCTCAGCCCATGCCACTCTCTGTTCAACGGTAGGTTTATTGTGTGAATCAGATGCACACAGGTTTATGGAAAGGAAGCCTTGACATGTTTTGCACACAAGGTGCTTGTTTGTAAGGTCAAATGAATAAGGGAGACACGTCAAGACTTTTTAAAAATATCTGTGTGCATTATACATGTGATTTCCACAATAGTCCTATGGTAGGGTACACAGTAGTGTGGATTTATTGTTTATACCTGGACCAAGCAAGATCTGGGATTCACAAGGGACTTCTGCACGATGGGAGTTAAAGGAGAACTATGAGGTGAGTGCTTTTCACTCACCTCATAGTTCTAGCCGACCTGTGACAATGAGACTGTCACAGGTCGGCTCAGTAGATCGGGAGGTGAGCGAACACATACCGGGTTCGCTCGCCTCTCGATCCTATCACGGCTCTCTGCCGTGACAGGGGGAGGGGCTGGATTCCCCTCTCCGATCTGCCAGCGCTGACTGGCGGAACGGACGGTGGAGGGGGCGGGTACAGCTGGCTCTGCCTCTAGATAGGCAGAGCCAGCTGTCACTCACGCAGCTGGGCGGATCCCGTCATCTACGTCGGGGATACGCTCCGGCTGCGGCGTCTCAGTATACCGCGAGCTGTAGCTCGCGGTATACTGAGCTTAGGGTAACGGGAGGACGCTAGTTTGTGTCCTCCCGTTACCCTAAGGAGAACTATGGGGAAAAACACTGACCCCATAGTTCTCCTTTTAAGTAAGACCGCTTCCTTGCTGCAGCAGAAGTCTTTTTGCTTTGTATACCGAAAGCCAGGTAGCTGAAAACCATAAAAAAAATAATCCCAGCGCCTATTTTTTAAAGCACTTTCTGTCACTATATTGACGGATACTTGAACATTATTATACTTGAACAGATTGAAAGAACCTCTAACATATGTGTATACTTTTTTGTTTTTGTTTTAGAGCATCCAGCACCAGAAAGTTGTGGGTGTGTCACGTGATGGTGTCACTTTTCCTCTTAGTCTGACTCTGATAGAGGACTTTTCTGAAGGTGTATCTTCAGTGGAAGAATACTATGGCAGTATAACTGTCCTGTCCTCTATCAGTGGCCTGATCACCCTCCTTCCGGATGGATCCATAAAAGGCTTGAATGGAAATTTTTCACACTTTCTCTTTGGATATGACAGATCACAGCTACTGGGGAAGGTAGGAATCCAAGTGGCAAACCGTAAATTGTTTTGAGAAAGGGGCTTTATAGTCATTTTAAAGTTTTATAGATATGCTGTTATTCTTTAAAGAATGGGTGCACTTTTATCATAACATCAAATGTAAATGTTATACTTTTTTTTCCCAGAGCTGGTTAGCTCAATGCCAGGAGTCATAAAATAGTGATTTTTTTTATTTTTTATTCAGTACATGCCATAGGTCTACTATCAGAAAGTATGTCTTCACAAACAAGAACACAAAGGAGAGAAGCTCAAAACAGACATTCTTAGCTCCCTATAGCTGAGACTATCCCCTGTCATCTCGGGTAAAACCTCAAGCCTGTGACACACTGCACGTAAAGCCGTGCAGAGCGAAGCAAAGCTGTCCGGCACGGAGCTTTGTGTGCAGTGTGTGAGCTGAGTGCAGGCAGATGATTGACTGCACTTTCAGCCAATCGACTCGTGCGTAACAACCGGCCAGACGTCGCATCCTGACGCGCGGGTTGAGACGCGCGAGCTGACTGGCTGAAGATGAAATTTTTCATCTCGGCACGCTCAGCTATGCGAGCTCTCGCAAGCTGACGTGCCAGGGAGAAAATTACATGACACACTGCTCGTGAAGGCAACGCGCCACCGCTCCGTGTGCAGTGCGTCGCAGCCTTCAGACCTTCAAAGACATTCCTAGCGGACCAGTTTGAGGCAAATAGTAATCTGCCCTCTTGGACAGGTTTGCTTGATTGTTTTTTTTTTTTTTTTTTTTTTTTTTTTCTGAGATAAGCCAGCACTAGAAATATCTTCTTGTTTTGCCCTCCACCATTCTTCATGGCTATAAACATGTATACTTAGTTGAAACGTGTGTGTAGCAATGAAAAAGATCTTTGTAAATAAAACTTTTCTTTGTAACTAGATTTATGCTCCCTGCTATCATATGAGTTTTATTTCTTAGCTGCTTCTTTTTTTATATGGTGGGGAAAAAAATGAAGGCACATAGGAAATAGGTCAGACTAATATATTTGCATTTTTCGAATGCAATGTATATTTGTTTGATCTGGATTAATTGTTGAAAAAATGTTTGAGTTTAATACTACTTTAAATAAATAAAAACATAAAGGCTTGCCACCAGTGTATAGGACCTAGAAAAGATTTGTTGTCATAAAACTGTCAGTTTCAGTAAGGTAGACTAAATATCAAGGACATTTCTGATACTTACATCTCCAAAGCCTGGGAAGTGCCCTGGTCTGGTTTTGAGGTTGTAAACTTCTCAAACATGAAGGGATCAAGCACCCTTTTAGGTGTCCCTTACCTATGTGAGAAACTAAAAAAAAAAAGCAACTAAACAATAATAAATGCTTACTTGCTTGTGGCTGTTCTGTAACCGTCTGTGCTTTTTCTTTCTGGGCTCCGTGTTTCTTAGAATATTACTTTTCTGATTCCTGGATTTTACCATCACATGAGAAGTGCTGAAGAAGATCCATCGCTGTTAACACCTCCTGAGGATCTACGAGCTCCAGCCAGATCATGTGAGGTCCTCTACGGTAGTGTGCCTGGTAAGAGAGTCATCAAATGCTTCTTATTCTGGAGCAGAGATGTTTTCTATGATGTATAAAAGAGTAATGTTAAAGTGACATTAAACCCTCAGATTTTTTAATATAAACCAATACTGTAATTTGTGCCTTACTGTAATCCATGGTAGTTTCCCTTCTCTTTGCTGCTCTTCCTTTTAAATCCTTATCTCTTCTCATGCTGGGGGAGAACTTCCCTTTGCAGCTGAGTGCCTCTTCCTGTAGTGCTGGCTCAGGTTGTGAACCTGCACACAGACACCATGTATCCATTCCAGAGACAAGGCAGTCTGCGGCAAAACAGAAGTTCTGCCCAGCATGAGAAGAGATACGGATTTAAAAGGGAAGGGAAACAACCATGGATTACAGTAAGGCACACATTACAGTATTGGTTTATGTTAAAAAAAATCTGAGGGTTTAATGTCACTTTAAAGAAGAAACTCCTTAATGGGAAAAAGAAGGAAAATAAATATTTTTACTAGGGCTGTGGAAATTAAAGATTCATTTCTCGATTAATCGTTAAACTTTTTGATCAATTTAAATTATTTTGATCGCTAATGAAAACACTCACCTCTCCGGCGGCTTCCGGGAGTCTTGTCGGCGATCCGGTGACGTCGATGTCCGTGACGTCTCCGGACTCCTCCCCCCTTCGTTAGCCGACGGAGCCACTTGGGCCGGTGAGTTTGCCCAAGAAACTTTCTGCACGAGCGCCAGCCAAGGCATTGGTATATACACATACAGCACAGCAATTAAGTAATAACATGAACTAGGATCACACTAATCCAGCACGTTATTATTCTGAGTTGCCCCACTCAAGCGGCGGCCATATTGAGTGGGGCACGTGAGATTAAGAACGTGCTGGATTAGTGTGATCCTAGTTCATTTTATTACTTCATTGCTGTACTGCATGTGAATAGGCCAATGTAGTTGGATCTGTATGTGCATTATAATTAATCGATGAATCGATTTAAAAAAAATTTCGATTAATCGAACACAAACATTTTAATCATTACCAGCCCTCAATTTTACCTGTAATTTTCCATTGAAATTTGCAATGAAAAAGCGAAATGTTATGCGTGCCGGGATGAATAAACTCCAGTGCGCATGTGTGGAATTGATGTCATGCTGGGCTGAAGATGCCGCACCCCCATAAAGCTGCAGAGTACATGCTGGCAAAAGAATTTGTGGCTATCACATCACTGGAGCATAGGTGAGTATATCTCCGCTTCAAGCCCTGATGTGAGCTGACCGCACAGCATTTTTGTGGTTTGATTGTTGTCAGCCTTGTCCAGTGGTCTTTTGCTGAATTACTCAAACCTTCACACTCTTAAGATCTCTACAACATAAAGGCTAATCCTTTTGTAGTCCACTATCTTTAATAGGCTCTAGAATCCTAATGGGCTCTTTGGGGTAACACAGGAAGTGTGCAGATGACCGCTCTGATCAGTTTTTATAGGGTTTTTTTGCACTTATCAAACAGATATAACAAAATTATTCTTATGGTATAGTAACCAGACTTTTTGGAGTCTCACAATGTCGCACTTCCCTGTGTGATGATCTGGCGCCAGGTTTTGCCTCCTGTCCGAGCTACTCGGCTTCCTGCCAATCCGCTCTGAACCTCTCTGTTAAAAGTTCAGCTCACTTGTTGCTTGACGTTCGAGCAACGCGTCTTCTCATTACAAGCCGGACCCTCTTTGTCGTTTTATGTTTGTTCCTGAGATCCCTGCAAATCTTAGTCGCATTGCTGCTTTCTGTGAACCTGCACTCCCAGCAAGTGGATTTTTTCTCCAGCTTCAGTGGATTCTAGCACCTGTGATTACTTGTGAGTCTCAGCTCCACTCTTGTGGCTGTTTGTACTTTCTACCTGCTCCTCCTAAGTGTCCTACCAGCCGTTTCATCACAGGCCCTCTGCTGTTCACCAGCGCTCCTATTACCTTGATGTATGGACTTCTTCCTTAGTGTACTGCATATCCTGTACTTCTGACTTGCATTGTGTATACATGCGTCACTCCTGCTTGCTTTGGTATGCTGAACCTTGGCGCTGCAGCTAGCCTCTGTGTCTGTGTGGGTGCGTTAGAGGGCCACAACCGACAGGTGTCCAGCAGCCAAGCATCCTCACCATTAGAGGCTCTGTTGAAGACCTGGCCCTTCTTAAATTTTGCGCTTTTTGTGTATCCCAGGTAACGCACAAACACCTACTTCCTGTGTTTTCAGTGATTTGCATCCCAGGCACCTTTTTTTGCACGCTACTTTAAGACATTTTGTGTGCCCCGGGCCGTCGGACTGTGACACACAGCACCCCTTTGTCAAGGGGAGGATCTGTCCAACAGCAAGACAACCAATGCTTAAAAAGCAATGAATCTGACATTTACCAAACATTCACAGGCAGTTATTCATTCTGTGAACTTTAAAACACATGCACCAGGAAGATTCACATACAGTGAACATTTCTTAATTGTTACATTCAATACTGCTCCCTCTCACCAAAAACTGCATCCTGACAAGTGTTTTATTACACACATTCATCAATAATGCAGTATTAAACACATGGTTGGTATAAATAAATGTAAGTATGCAAGTACGTGGTGCTGCAGTATCAGAAAAACGTCTAGATCAGAAAATAAATGCCTAAATAAATGGTTTTGACTACTCTTAAAGGCACCAGGTAACCATGACAACCTGACGTGTCAAATTAACAATTAAACTGCAGACATCTGTGCAGCTAATTATAAAACAGTATTAAAAAAAAAACAGAAAAAAACAGGTGTGCATCATAATATCATAGGTTTGCTGTCTTTGCTGCCATGTTGTTGTTGTAGGGCACTCTGTCCCGTGTGGCATGAAGAGAAATGTGTGTAAATCCAGACATTCACTGCAAATTACTCTTGCAACATGTCAGGGGTATAAGTGAATGGTGGGTAAGGTACGGTGTATTGTCACTAAAAATATTAATAGGATTTTTGTACTCGCCCTAAAGACCAATCTTGGAATCTGGTTTACCTGAACCTCCCAGAATGGTGGAACAAGAAACCAAATAACCCTACAGGATCTGGGCTGACCAAACAGCATAGGTAGCTGAGAGGTGGGGAATCTAAAGAACAGTCAAACAAGGAAAAGAAGCCTCTCTTGAAGGACTGAAGCTAATCAGAGGGACCAAAGGATGGTATCCTGGTTGAGGAGAAGACCAGAACTGCCCTAGGTCAGAAAAAGTCCTTGACCTCAACTCGCCTGATCCCAATCAGAAATAGGACTCCTTGCATGGAAAGGCAGTTGGAGCCCATGGAGCAACAGTCGGGAACCTCACCAAGTCGATGAAGTAAAGTTGCTGTGTCAATCCAGAGCAGGGAAGATTGCCAGAAAGCCCTCCATCTCGAGCCTGTAAAGCTGACCAGGAAGATGCATTTGAGGAACAAAAGGAACCAAAGCATCTGCTGCTATAGCAAGAGGAATCCTCTGCCTGTAGACAAATCTGTTCAGCATGCAGTTGAACCAAGATATCAGAGGGTCCGCATGAGGGTCTTCCACCTGCAGGTTTGGAAACACACTCAAGTGTATGAATCTCGATGAGCACAGCAAACAGGACTGGAATGTGAGGTTCTGCGTAGGGGACAATCCAAGCTACCGGTCTTGTCACAATAAGGTCCTTTGATCCTTCTTGATGGTTGAGGCACGCCAGCACCGAGCTGTTGTCCAGCTGTATCAGGTGACTTGCCAAGAGGGCAGTCCAGCAATGTAGAAAGAACCACATCTTCTGAAACACATGATGGGAGATGAGAATTCCTAGATGATCAGGGCTCCTGCACCAGCAGGGTGTCCATGCCTCCTACCCAGTCTGACAAGTTGATTTCCGATGATAGGATCTTCCAGAACCTGGAAGACTAATCCACCTGAACAGGGACCACATGAACCTTGGGGGCAGCCAGTGCAGTCTGTTAATAAACTCTTCTAACTTGTCCCATTATAACAGAGGGTGGTACTGAGACAGTCTGGGAAGAAACTAGAGAAAAAGTCTGCCTTGAAGAGGGTTACCCACAATTGTCATGCAGTAGCTGAGAGATGGACATATCCCAGCTAAAGGACAAGGACATAAGATCAAATAAGGTGAAGATTTTTCCTGCAGCGGAAATATTCTGTTCTGATTTGACTGCAGGCATTCAGAGGAATCCAGCACGGATTTCTGAAGATTCAGGATCCAACTAGATTGTAGAGACATCTAGACAATCGGAGAAGTGTCCAACAAAGCCCACACCGACTGGCCTCTAAGTATCCCAAAATTGGAATGCATTGAGAATGCACTAGAACTAACGCTGAGGCCAGCACCCTGGCTTGACTGAAGAGTCAGAGGTCCTGATCGACAAGGACCAGTAGGTACGTGTCCTAGCTGAATACAGAAGCCAGACTGTCCCTCTAGGGAAGGGAGGGAATGGTAGATCTGGTGGATACCATGCAAATTGTTGCACTCACAGGCCCCAGATAAGGCACATGTTCTCTTTGGGACAGAGAACAGTGATAAGATTGGAGTATAGCTCCTGAAACTAATCTGACACAGAAGCTGGAGCAATGACACCTTGGTCCAGAAGGGGCAGAGGTAGGTCTGCTAATCTTTGTGGTGACACTTGAAGGTGATGAGCATCTGAAAGGCAAACTATCAAAGACTAATAAACATCTGTCCACTTTGGAAAGTGGGAGCGCACCTTCATGTTGATGAAGCCTTTTCTGAGGGTTTAGCTTTTTACCCCAGACTTTGTGTGTTGCTAGAGAACCAAGTTTGGGAGGCCAAGACATGAATACTAGAGGGGTAAAGAAAGGAAATGGAGGAAACTTGACTGTCCCTTTCCTAGGCTTCATGTCCTGAGGCAAGTGGGTTGCTTTTCAGAACAAGTCCTGAATGTAAGGATGCCTCCTTTACCTCCTGTGTTTTTCTCATAACCAAATATTTTGTTTACAGTGATCAATTAACCATATATTTGGTATTACCGCTGCACCATGCAGGAAGATGGACCTTCCATTCATCTCTGTGTGCACACAGCAGAGGAACTTGGCTCTATTTAGGCTCAGTACACCTGATGCTAAGCATGCTAAGATAATTCTTTACTTCACTAGTTAATTTGCCTATCTCATGAATACATACTCTTATTCCTCCCAGCATTCATTAGAGCAGTGGTTCTCAACCTGTGGGTCGGGACCCCCTCGGGGGTCGAATGACGATTTGCCAGGGGTCGCCTAGTCAGAAAAAAAAAAAAAAACACCATAGGAATGCATAGCCAGATTCCTATTGGCTATGTCACTTTGCAAAAGCCAATAGCAAATTAGCTATTGCAACAGCCCTCTGATGCTGCCAATCAGCAGAGGGGGACCTGAAGTTCTCCATCAGGTCCCTTTCTAGTGATTGACAGCAGCAGAGGGCGGGTGCAATATGTATGTATTCAAGCAAAAAAATATGAAAAACACACCTCTAGCTATGCATTCCATTTTCCCGGTCTGCAGCTGCAGAGATCGGGCAATGTCTCCGTGCCTGTGATTGACACTGCGTACTATCAGCTTCCTGGCGGGCTCGGCACGTGGAGCTGCGAACACGCCCGAGCCCGTCCCTATCAGTGACAGTACTGCGGAGTATGTACCTCATACGTTATATAGCCACATTAAATCCAATTCTTCTAGTTCCAGCTGCAGAGCCCGGTCCTGTCTTTGCCTATAGCAGTGGTTCTCAACCTGTGGGGTCGCTGTGCAAGGTGAGAGTCCTCCTCAGCTCTCTCCTAGCGCAGCAGTGTCAGTTCTCCTGCCACGCCTCCAGATGTCGCTGCAGCAGCCGCGTCATCCCTAAATTTTACCTTTGGGGGTCACCACAACTTGGCAAATGTTACCAAGGGGTCCCGGCCCTAGAAAGGTTGAGAACCACTGCATTAGAGGTTACAGAACTCTGTTCTACAACATGTAGGTATAGGACTCATGGCTAGAAGGTTTGAACGCACTGCGATTTAAAAAGGACACAGCCCCATCTAGTGGCTTTGCCTCTGTATGACCTAAACAAGCTCAGTTTAGCTTTCTGAGGAGGAAGTACTGTAGGTCTCTTTCTAGCTTTGCTGGATGTAGACAAGGACATACAGTAATTGCCCATTGCCCACCCCTCATTTCTGGGGACTGCTTTTGCACATTCGAAACATTAGGATAGAGTTATGTGTCCCTATCCTAATAAATGTTGGGAGAAAGTTGAATTTTCTTTTTTTTGCACTTCCTGAAAAATTATTTTCTCCATTAGTTCATTTGAGAACACAACTCCATTCCCTCGGATAGATGCTGTTTTATGTGGTTGGCCTGTTTCCACTGTTTAGAAATTGTATTAAGGAAAGCTGTTTATCCTCTTGTTGTTTGCAGCTTTGCTATTATTATGGGTAATGGTGCAGGAGTATAACCACTAGATGAGGGTGTGTCTCTGTGGATTTGCTTAGTGTCCTAACCTCCTGGAGGCGGCAGCTATATCTGCACATTGAAAAATGGAGTCCTGTGTCCTCCAATATACCCAGTGGAGTCATTGCAAACTGTTCCCTCTGATCTCTGCTGCCTTTGTAGAACTACAACACCCAGCTTGCTCCACTTTCATGTATTCTTCCCACATTATATTACCAATGCCCAACAAATAGGTAATCATTTTCTAGTTTTGAGAAAGTGGTAAGTGTACCAGTGGTGTTACCTATTGAAACAAACCAAATGCTTTCTTATGGACGATATTCAGATAATGAGGCTGATGCTAACTGTTTGCTGCAATTTACTGGACATGTATGATATGAAATATATTTTTCCTTGTGTCTCCTGTTGTCAGCTGCAGAGTCCTCTGTACAGAGATGCAAATCTAATGATCCTTTGGAAAGAGTTCAGCATTCTTCTTGTCGTATTGTAGTGAGCCCCTCATCTCCTCAGTCTACAAGGTATGACCTCTTCCTTATTACAACTAAACATTATATATATACTGTATATAGGCTATAATGTGGTTGATTTACTTTAGGAATAGAGCATGCTTGCTTTCAACTTAATTCTCACTTTACTTATCTTAGTAAAATTTAAAGTGACACTTTTAAACTCGGGAATTAAATCTTAAAAATGCATTCAAGTACCCTAACTATTAACAAAACTCCAAGCTCGCTCCTGTGATGGACTACAATCTCAATACAAATTAGTGGGGATGCACCAATACCGTTTTTTCGGCATACCGAGTACAATCTGATTGCCAGAGAAGCAGGCTCCATGTTTGGCCGGCTTGATTGTGCTTGGCTAGGAAACCGGCCTTGCTATGCCAGTCAGCATTGAGCCGACTTCCCGGCCAATCAGGAAGCCAGGCGGCGAGTAATGATCCAGCTTCCTGATTGGCTGGAAAGCAGGCTTGATGCTGATTGGCCGGAAAGCAGGCTTGATGCTGATTGGCCATAAAGCCCGGTTTCCCAGCCAATCAGCAAGGAGCCGACTTTTCAGCTGGCTCAATACTGATTGATTGTGAAGCCGGCTTCACGGCCAATCAGGGAGGTGGGTCATTACTCGCGGCCCAGCTTCCTGATCTCACGGGAAGCTGGCTCCATGTTCCCCTACGGCACTGCCAGTCACAGGAAATCTTCCTCTGACCGGAAGTTCCGGTATCGGAACATTTGGGCGAGTACGAGTACTTTCCCAAATACTCAGTACCGATTCTAGTATAGGGTATCAGTGCATCCTTACAAATTAGTAAATTAAATGTGAGATTGTAGTGCATCACAGAAGTGAGCTTGGAGCGGTGACTACTTTAAAACACACACAGGGACCATGGGGAACAAAAGTAGTCACCCTCCAGAAGGAAGTGTCAGCACCAATTCAGAGATGATTTGAGCATCTACAGCCGAGTGATACACAAATAAGATACATTTCTCTTAATAGTTGAGGTACTTGAATGTATTTTTAAGATTTAACTCCTGAGTTTAATGTCACTTTTACTTTGCAAATAATGCCCACTAGTGCAAGGAAATTTTTTTTAGTAGGTCTCCTTTATCAAATTGGGAGGTGTGGGTTTATTAAAGTGTGTTATAAATGGACTAGGTAGCAGCACACCTACCCTACACCTTGCAGTTCCTTACCCGCTTGTGTTCTCAGACTGAATGCTAAAATTGATTATCTGTTTGTTATAAATAAATAACTAGTCTCAGAGTTTCAATAACAGAATCCTGGTCATAAATGTAGTTCCTAGCTGAACTAATACAAGCATTCAGGACAGGCAATTCAGACTTTATAGACTTCATTGGCTACATGCTTGTTTTGGGTCTGTGTCTAATTAGGTAGTGAAGCCAGGATCACTATGACAAACTTACCGTCTGTGCCTTTAAAACTAGATGATAGCAATCCTGACAGGCTTTCTTTTGGTTCCCTTTAAATAAGTGTGTGTGTGTACACACATTGTATA